AACCAAGAGGGTGAGATTCTAACCTCCCAGCACGTGACCATCTCCCCCTCGTCAGGTCAGCCGTTTGTCTGTCTGTCTGTCTGTCCTGTCTGGTCTAGTCTGTCCTGTCTGGTCTGGTCTGGTCTGGTCTGGTGGTCTGGTCTGGTGGTCTGGTCTGCTGGTCTGCTCTGCTCTGCTCTGCTCTGCTCTGGTCTGGTCTGGTCTGGTCTGGTCTGTCTGTCTGTCTGTCTGTCTGTCTGTCTGTCTGTCTGTCTCTCTCTCTCTCTCTCTTTCTCTCTCTCCCTCTGTCCCTCTCCTTCTTTTACCCATTTGTAACAGGAACAAGCGGATAGGCCCGTTCCGTGCCAACAAGACTCCGGCAGTTAGTGAGCTCTTTAACACTTGCTGCTGCTCCTGCTGCCGCCGCCGCCATTGAGGCTGGGCAATGTTCGCCGCCGCTGCATACAGCTCAAGCCGCAAGGCAACCACGATCTAGTTCAGGCCTTACATTCCTCCGGGATGTCACGTTCTATCTTCATGTTCGTTGCGCTGGCTGCTGCCACAGTGGCAGCTGCAAGCGACCTCGCCACTGGCGCTGAGGGCGCAGAGGACTACTGGGCAGGAGCCGTGTGGCAGGACCTTCAGCTGCTCTTCTCCTTCGCCCTGGGCATTCTCTTCGTGCGCTTGCCGAAACCATCTTGGACGAGTCCGGGGCCAGTGGAAGAAATCAAGGACTCACGAAGCTCCAGCTCTACCCCCTGCTGTCTTAGACTCCGAATTTCGCAAAGGCACCAGGCCAGAACGAGCTTCAAAGGAATGCAGTTAAAAAGAGCTCCAAAAATGAGCTGCTCGTTCTTCGTTCAGCTGGTCTTCAGCATGTGTGTCTGTTGAAAGCACGTTATGATCCTTGCTCAGTTGTACTTGTTCTATTTACCCCGAAGCTTCCTTTGAGCCGAATGAGCGCCGACATTTGACTATTGCACTTTGTGATAGCTGCTAGCAGTATGACGTTTTCCCGACTTTCTGAGACTGTAGTAAAGCTGATTGCACGGGTTGCAATGTTCCTGCCTCAGCCAATTAGCTTGGCCACTTTTAAAGCGCTCACACACATGTATGTATGCATATGTATATTGAGACGTCTCATCGCCCGTCCTTTGGCTCTCAACCGGGAAAAGGGGGTTCCAGAAGGCCGTTGAGTGCCCGCTTACATGAACAGACTTTGGACTTTATGAAGAAATTCGACAGCTTGATAACCACAGCTTCAAGAGGATAATGGAAAACAAAATGGAAACTATTGTAACATGAGGGGCTATATAGGGATAATGGAAAAGAACATGCAAGCTACTATAATGGGTTATGTATTGGTCATTGGCCATTTTGTGAGTTGAGCTTGCAGCACCGTCCCCAAACTCTATGTGCTGCTGAGATATGAGACTGAGATACCGTCCTTGGTTGCTCCCCAACTAGGGTTAGCAGCTTTCAGCGTGACCCAGGCATTGCTGTCTACACGCTTGGGTGGCGCACTTCAGGGAACGAATCAAGCAACAGCCGCTTCGGTTGCTCCAAGGGAGTGCGAGGACTTCTTGTTTCCCTGCTCCTTCTTTCAACCTGCCCCCTGCTGGAATTTGCTTGGGCACCCGTGGGCCGCGGAACGCATTACAGCTCACCACCATCATCTGATGTACTTGTTCCAGTCGATTCTCCTGAACTGCGGCTATCACTGCTGCTGTTCAGGTGTGCAAAAATGAGCCCCTGTATTGCGGACCCGCGAAGAAGACCCCAAGTCTTTGGAATCCTAATCCCTAGCCTATATAACCCTTGCCCCCTATATCCAAATGTGCTTCCACCGTGTTCATTAAGTTCGGAGATTGCTGGAACCACCTCGCGGAGTTGCGCAGCATGCGGGTGACCACGAAGTTCTCTATGCGAAGTTATGCACCGCACACCGTTTGGGGATTAGGGTTTCAGGCTTAGGGTCTGGAGTCCTCACGGTTTGTTAGATGATTTAGCCGAATTCATCTTCTTGCGCTTCCGATGGAAGACAACCTGCCGGAAGGGCTGTGGCATCTCTTTGGGTAGGACTTGAAATTTACATAGGGTTGGCATTTGCTGCCCAGAAGCATTGTGAAACTGGAAAGCGCTTCAATTTCGTCGCCCCAGGCGCAGCCTCTATTGCCACTCCCTGCAAGCCATTATTATTTCGGGCTAAGGAAGCTACATCGTGCAAAAACATGTAGCGCTTGCGCATACAGCGTCAGCGTAAGCTGGAACAGTCACTTGCTCATCTCGGCTCACCACCCTACGATGATTGTAAGCTGTCTAAAAACCATGGCAAGTTCCTGGCCTGCCTTTAGAAGTTGTCACTCCCGCGCCTCATGAGTAGGGTCTTGTGGACAAGCTCTGGGTCCTTGGGGATTTCCTGTCTCAGCCTTATGTTCAGCATTCTGAACGTTGGAGGCCTGTTCAACGAATTTGGACTCAGGGCGGCTCGGCTGTTGGGCTCCATTCGACGTGAAGCCTCAATGGCTAGAGCCGCTCGAAGGTGGATGGCAGCTAATGCATGGCTTGTAGTGGACGGCCAGCAGGTCCAAAGCACCAGGTTCAAGTTCCAAAAGCAGCTATGAAGATACTCCAGCATTAGGGCTTGGTTACATGTACGGCAAAGCCTGACAAACTACATTATCAGTGGGAAAGTGAAGTGCCGCATGCATCCAGTCTAGCATGAGCACACGCAACAGGTGGAAGGGATACAAGCCTGCAGGTTGTAGATTGCATTACAGACAAGACAATGCCGGCCCCGCACAATGCCCAGAACCTGCGCACTTGCGGCAGTTGGGAATTGCAGCTTGCCCTCCCCTCATTCAAGCGGCCAAGAACCCTTTTGTCCTAGAGAAGGCTTTGGATTGAAGCTCCTCAGTCATGCACACGCCAGCGCACAGGCGCAAGCAATCTCCTTCCTGGGAAAATGCTCGTGTCCGATGTGGATTGATTGAACTTTCCCATCCTAGGGGGCAGGCTACTGAAGCAAAGCAAGGCCGTACCAAGAGTGAGCCAGGGTGCAGGGTAAAGGCAACGCCCTCGCACAGTGTCCTAGAACTGCCAGCACACAAGCTGGCAAGGTGATTATTTCTTCGCGAAGCCCAGCTATGCCTCCTGACTTGGGCTTATGACCTGTGAAGGCCTTACTGGCAATCTTGACCATGCATGTTGTACTCACGAAGACAGCGTGACATTGAACACGAAGGGGGCTCCCATCAATCACTGGTGCCGCACTTGGTGTAGTTAGGGAGCTAACTCACAGAGATGTGACCTTATCATGTAAATCTCTGCGCACCCAAGGCATGATGTGTATGCTGGTAGCTGGGCTCACAGCCCCCCTTAAGTAGATAGAATATGGGGTATACGGGGACTTTAGTCTATTCTACCCAAAGTCATATTCTGTCTACTTAAGGGGGACTATACATCCAGGCACGACGTAGCTACCTCCTCCCAGCTGTCATCCAAGCGGGGCTGAGCACCAGGCCAAGGCAAAACGCAATGGCCGACCGGCAAATGGAGCTTCCCTTGCTTGAAGGGCCTTGGCGTAACATGTTGTGGCCATTTAAAAATGGTTCCAGTAGTTACTATAGGGTCCCGATTCATACCCCAGAATAGTATCATCCCTACTATGAAGACACAGTTTCGCCAGGATTGCTAGGGCTCCATCTTGTCAATACATCAGAATTCGATTGGCCGCAGCATCCTTAATCCTGAGTCATGCCAGCTGAAGTAAATCAGGGAAGGACACGCGGAGCACGCACCTTGATGTCCCAGGTCATGATGTCCACAAGCTGGGATTTGTGACGACACTTTGGTCCACCTTGAACAACATGCTGCCACTAGGTGGAACTGACCTTTCCAGCAGCTATGCGAGACAAAAGGCGGTGCTTTTGAAGCACCCCCCATGCCGAAAGCCGTTTGCGTTAATGTCGCTAGTAGCTTGCCGACCAGCTGTCCATCAAAGCCAAATGATGCTGGGGCTTGAGAATCAAGTCGAGGGAAGGCTAACCGTGCCCTGGATTTCCTGAAGAAACGGCCAGTTTGTAAACACGAGTTCATTCATGCCTGGCGCAACATGCGGAAATGATGCTCCGAAACATGCAGAGCCGAAGAAGTGCGGATGCGGCTTGATGCAGTGTGCCTGCGGGCTCGAATTTGCATAAAGGCTAAGCGCCGGCCCAACAAGGGGATAATGGAAAAGAAAATGGAAACTACTGGTATATTGGGGTTTTATAGGGATAATGGAAAAGAAAATGGAAACTACTTGAAGAAGGTTTTGCAAAATGAAACGATGATCAGCAAGATCACGTTAGACTCACGTGCGTTTTAGCGGCACTCCCCCTATCCCTTCCCGCAACCATGGCTCCTGCTGTTGCATGCTTCCCTTTATAGTGGTCCACTCGCTTTTTGGGTGAACTACTATCTAGCTCCAGGCCACCCGTCTAAGCCAACTTCAGTTGATAGAATGAACCCAGACCCCTTGAACACTTATATGGGGATTATATAGGGGGTATTATGGCTGTATATAGGGGATCTAGTTTGTAGCTCCTCCCAGGGGTCTGGGAATATAGGCATTGTTTGCAAGGTTAAGCCACAAATCCAGAGCCCTAATCCTACACAAAGATCATTATAAGCGTTTCATCCCTTCTAAACATCAGTAAGGTTGACTTTGGTGTGCAGGGGGCAGGGCTGCAAGTGGAGTTTCGCCGAGCCTTCGCCACTGTTATGATGTCCTGAATCCCTATTCTGATTCCTCTAGAATCCCAGGAACTAGTACCTGTGATCCCAAAACCCCCCGAAAGTAGAACCTATATTCACCCTAATGAGCTTTATCTCTCCTGAGTTGCAGTCGCCGCGCCGCAGCTTCAGTCCAATGTCACTTCATGCAATGCTGCGGGGAATCGATGCCATGCCTGGCACATTGGATGGGCAAGAACGACTAACTTTCAGAATCTGGACATTTCCAGGAGGCTTTCAATGGCCAAAAGCCGTCTTCTTTGCAGTGACCTCAAGCTTCGACTGAGCCGGCTTCACTTGCCTGCTTTCAATGGTGACAGAGACATGCTCAGCTTTAGCGATGTAATGACATGCCCCTGCCCCTGCGCGCTAAAGACTACCAGCTCCTCATCTAGGACCCATAGAGGGAATCATTGTGGTAGCCTGCACTAAACCATGCTGGGGTGCTCAGCCCAAAAGCCTGAGGATGACGCAGGGCTGCAGTGCACTCCATCACAGTATGGTCGGAACTCTGATTCATTTAGGAAAGAGTGGCCGTTTGCATACGGTACTTTCCATGAGATGGGGACCCTAAAGTAGACCCCAAGAAGTGCAGAAATAGACACTGCAGAAGCCACAGAAGGATCCCAACTTGTAGATTGCCCTTGTATGCGGTTTACAGATTTGGGCCAACCGCCGGCAAGGGTTGTAGCTTTTATCAGGTTGCCGAATACCAGCGCCCCATAGACATCAGCACTTGAAAGGTCTTTGTAGGCGAAACTGCTCTTATTTTCGAGGGTACGTACAGGACCCCATATGCGATAAATGCCCAGATGGCTCTCCAAAGCATACCAAAAATCCAGAAATTCCATATAATCATTCAATCCGAATCCACATGCTGAAGCCTCGCTGGTTATAGATTTGCTTTGCACACGTGGTGAAAGTATCAGAGATGACTTCTGCAGCTTTGTGGTTTAGGGGCTATAAGGCTCTAAGATGCTCCCAGAAAGGGCATGAATGTCTGCAAAGAAAGCGGCATCTTTCTCGGGGGAAGTTTCTGATGGTAAGGAAGTCTGGTTGCCTGGTGTGGAGCTGCGGCTCCAAAGCAAGAGGCCTATACACCCCATCTGGAGTGGTTTTTAGCCAAGATGAAAGTCCAACCCCTTCCTTTACCTAAGCCCCTACATCAGTTCCTGCGCTCTGCACTTGTGGCTGGAGCTTGTGGTGACGACCTTTCCTCTACGACCGTCTTGGCCGCGAAGCTTGACGTGGTGAAACGGCGGAGAGTGGCTTGTGGGTTTGGGGCCGTTAACAACATCCACAGCACACGCTTATAATAAGGCTTTGTGGGCTCCACCGAACATGATGACAAAGCTAACTCCACGCCTGTATTGGCATTGGGCCAACGTTGGGCTGAGGCCCCTGGACTGCGGTGCGGGCGAAAACCATTTGCTGTGTTGCACCCTGTAAACTCCAAAGCGAGCTTTTGATCGCCCTCCTCCTTACTGGTTATTAGTAGGGCATAAAGGAATATAGTATATAGGGATTATGAAGTGCTTGCATTCCCTAATTCCCTAGTAACCCCCAAAAAGCATCTCAGTTCCTTGGCCCCACACTTAGCTCCATCAAGGTTAAGCTATGGCGTTCCGAGCTTCTTCACCCAGACTTGTTGTTCGTGTGCCGGCCACGCTCTTTGCCGGGGTTTGCAGCATTGTGAGGTTTGTGACGTTGAAGTATCAGCATTCTGGTGGGAATAATGCCCTTAGCAAATTCAAATCAGCACTGTTGCGTTTTCTGTCCACGGGAAGCAGGGTTTGCACCGTTTTGCGCAGTCACTGCATCCACCGGAGACTACAGGATTGCCTCAAGGAAGGGTCTCTTAGCAAAGTCGCGGCTGGAAAGTCAGGTGCAATGGGCATCATAGCTTCTGCAAGCTTGAGGTTGCGAAGCATGCGAAGCGATGCCAGACTGGCTGACTCCCCTAATCTTCCAGGTGCCTAGAAGGTTTGCTCATATGACACGGCATAGCCAACCCCTCTGCGGTAACACGCCCAGACATTTGCCAACCTTCCTGACTCAGATTGCCTGCCCACATTCGATTGCCTGCGACGCCGAGTTCAGGCGTCAGTCATCTGGCGTGCAGCGAAACCCTAAACCCTAAACCCTATATAATCTATACCAGTCTATACCATGTCCCCATGATCCCTACTAAGCCCCAGTAAACCCTAAATAATCCCTATAGAATATATTCCCATATTCCCTAGTAAGCCCCAGTAAGCCTTGGAGGGTGGGCTGTTTCTCTACCCAGGCTGGCTTGACTCTAAAGCTTGCAGCTTGACGGATCGCACTCCAATGCTCAAGCTGAAAGACGTCGTTGGGTATTTGTCCAAGTTAGGGCCCTCTATATCCCAAAAAGTCCTCAAAAGAGATTCCGAAACTCTCCAAAAATGAGACTTTAATGACAGGTAAATCCATATATGTAATCAAAAAGGACTCCCAAAAAGGACCCATGATCTCAAGCGATCTGCGAATTGTGCCTTGCCTGGCGACACGCTCTTCCAAAAATCCCAAGCCCTAAACCTAAACGTTCCGCACGTAACCCACCCCACACATCCCGAGCCCCAATCCCTAAACATGTGTAATGCAATCCCTGCATAGCTTCCATACGTCGTTTTAGACGAGCACCTATGAAACTCTGCAGCAATGGTCATTGAGCTTTGTACCCACCCACTTCCAGGTATCCCTGCGGGTGGACCGGAAATAGGCCCGAATTAAGCTTGATTTCCTGTGCGTCTTTGGGGAGCCGGAATATTGGGGGCCCTGGGGGATGCGTTGGATTCTGCTTGCAGCGCAGGAGCTGGACAGAATCGTTTTGCAGAGACAGCGCCAGAGTGGATGAAACCTTGAATATGACACGTGCCGCACCACGTCTGCAGTGTATGCCCAAACGCTGGCGCACACCCAACTTTTCTTCTAACATGGGCTGGTACCGTTCATTTTGCAGAATGAGCTCTTGTCCTGGTTAGACCTCTGACCAAACGGCCTGGGGATCAGTTTTAGTGGAAAACCCATACATTTCAAGGGGGATCTTTTGCTCAAGTTCTAGAGTTAACATCAGCTACGTAATGGCTGTAAACAGGACCTCCGAAGCTTTCGGGAGCCCCAGCTGACTGCAAAAGTACAGCGAGTGCTGCGTGTGCAGGACTTGTAGATCTCCTGTGCATACGAGTATCCTTCAATGCTTGATTTGGCAGAGCACTGCATTAGCTGTGGAGGCAGATTAATCAGAAAGAGAGCATCGAACAGGTCGCGCTGCTTCACAGACTGCCGGCGTCTTTGGGCTTGAAGGCTTCGGTGCGGAAAATGGCATGGTGGCAAGGTGGAGCTCGGCAAGCCTGTGGCCGCTGATCAGGTGGAACCGCACAAGTTTCGCCCAGAGTTGTTTGCATGATGGCGCTGATGTTTGCCTGTCAGCCAGCAACCAGCAGCCACTCGCTGGCAAGCTTGGCGCTGCGGTCCCCAAGTTCCAAGAGCTATGTCAGCTTATCGCCAGCCCAGCCTTAAAGAGCGTTGCATTCTGCATTCATTTGCCCTGGACAGCGAGCTCAGGTGTTGTTCGCCGAGATTGTTAAGCGTTTTTCTCCGCAAGTTCACTGGGTGTTGAGGTGCAGCTCATGGGAGGCCATATCGGGGAAGTTTCCGCTCGCGTGCAAATGGCAAGCCAAAGCTCCGACTTAAGTGACTTGGATGGCTTTCACGAAGATGCGAAGTGCAGGTTTAGGATTTAGCAATCAAACTGCAGCACGGCAACAAAAGTGCGCAATCTTGCATCAAAAAGCCAGGGTGCACATGCTTTCCAGATGCAGGGCCATGCGGGGGAACCGACAGGTTTGCGACCTCAGGGACTGTCGTGCATTTCTGTGCAGGTCCTGCTTAAAGGAGCGATCTCAGGCCACAAAGTGCCAGGCAAGCACCACAATCCTACTTAAGCCAGAGCCGGCCTCCTCAAAGTAGGGTATGAGTGGACCAGCTAGTAACGCTGCAACTCTTGCATCAAGAGCATTGCTTAAGATCTTTACGCGGCTTTGGGCTTGTGATTTGAAGTACAGAAATTCGTGCACCCTCAAATGAGGATCCAGAGAGCATGTGTCTGGCTGTCCGCAATCCAGAGGTTCGCGGACCACCAAGAGATCTCCCGATTTTGCGTGGAGCGGGCCATGGACCGAAGAGCCACTTTCCCACGACCAGTGAATTTTGTTGCACGCCCAGTTTGCTCCCTCGCATCATGTGGCAGAGCTATGACCATTGACAGGGGTGATCGCTGCCTTCAAGACTGCCTTGAATCCGATTGCCTGCCACACAACAGATTGTAGCAAGCTATGAACACCTACCAGGCAGCACCAAACTCCGGTCTTCCGTGTCCCAGCGCATTGACATCAAGACGGGCCAGCCACAGCACCCTGAACCTCCAAAGTAAGCACGAATGATGCACGAGAGCGCAGCATAGGCGCCTAGCAGTTGAGAAAATGGCATGGTGCCGTTCCGAGACTCTAGCATTGCTCGCTGGGTTGGGTTGGCAAGGATTCCAGTTGATCGCAAGAACTTTCCCGAAACCGCTGGCCGTAGAAGCATTTCCAGCACAACGCCCCATCTGCTCCCAAACATTCGTGACGGTGGGAACTGTTCTGAATGTGTTTGCAGGTCCTGCGTAAAGAATCTATCTCCAACGCGCCAGACAAGCACAAAAACCCTACTTAAGCCAGAGGCGGCCTCTTCAAAGTAGGATATGAGTGGACCAGCTAGTAATGCTGCAACTTTTGCATCAAGAGAATTGCTTAATATCTCTACGCAGCATCGGGCTTGGGATTTGAAGTAAAGAAATTCGTGCACCCACAATTAAAAAGTTCACAGACCACATAAAGATCTCCCAATTTTGCGTGGCGCGGGCCATGGACCGAAGAGCCACTTTCCCACGACCAGTGAATTTCGTTGCATGCCCAGTTTGCTCCCTCGCATCATGTGGCAGAGCTATGAACATTGACAGGGGTGATCGCTGCCTTCAAGACTGCCTTGAATCCGATTGCCTGCCACACAACAGATTGTGGCAAGCTATGAACACCTACCAAGCAGCACCAAACTCCGGTCTTCCGTGTCCCAGCGCATTGACATCAAGATGGGCCAGCCACAGCACCCTGAACCTCCAAAGTAAGCACGAATGATGCGCGAGAGCGCAGCATAGGCGCCTAGCAGTTGAGAAAATGGCATGGTGCCGTTCCGGGACTCTAGCATTGCTCGCTGGGTTGGATTGGCAAGGACCCCATCCTGTCAGTTGATCGCAAGCTAGAAGTATTTCCAGCAGAACGTCAACATCTGCTCCCAAACACGGTCTTCACTATAATGACCAACGGGCTTTCAGAAGATGAAGACCCCCCACTAAAATGATTATGGTGCGCGTAGGTGCAGGAAGTTTGCCCAAAGTTTACCCCACTAGCTCCACAATTCCCAATTTGGTCTAGGGCAGCGCCGTTAGTTCCCAGGAATCGCCCCAACACGCCAATCGGACACTGCAACTGATCGAGTTTAACACGGCTATAGGGGGTAGGTCTGAGATGTGCCATTGCCGGAGGAGGATACCCTGGTATGCAGCCGGTGCGTGTCTGCGTGTGTGGACCGGCTATGTAAGCTGCCCTTTCTCTGAGCTTGCGCCCCCAGCTTGGTACCTGGGTGAGGGTTGTCACACGCGGAAGAGCTTCAGGTCCTGCGAAGAGAACCATCTTGGCCAAGTCACCGCTTCGGAGCCAATGATTCCAATGGCATCTGAATTCCAATCACGCTTGCTAACAGTCCAGTCCGGGTTACAGAAAACGCTGGCTTGGGGGGACGGGCTCGTTCCTGTAGTATAGACCGAATGGCCCAGCATGTTGAACTGTTGCCGCAGCCTTGATGACGTTTGCGGAAGGGCTGAGATGGCGGCAGCCAGCACGTGGTGAGCCGACCCGCCCACTCAGTCACTCACTCATTCACTATTCTAATTCACGGTTCTACAATTGAAAGGTCATGGTGCGGAAGTGTGAAGAGGTGCAAGGGACAGGCTAACCCTGTGTTGGGAGGCCAGAGAAAGGAGTGGAGGTACAGGTAGCTTTCCTGCACGTGCGCAGACAGGTATCCTAGCTCCGCGGACAAGATTGCAGCCTTGTAGGATGCACCTCCAGCAGAGATGTTTTAGAATCTTGCGATTGCGAGGGCAGGAGCGGTCCAAATAGAAATTGCAGAGGTGACCAGGCAAGTATGCCATAGCTCCGCGCACAAGATTGTCAGCGTTGTTCTTGCAGCCGTTGCAGACGCTCCGCCGAAGCACAACGAGCCACACCACGAACGCCGCAATACAAACAAACTCAAAGGAAGAGTCTCAGCACACACATTGCTGCGTGAGGACGTGGCCTCATCAACAGGCTGCCAAGACCGTCTCCAAAAGCGGCAGCATGCAAAATGCAGCTCCAGGTCTACAGGCAGTTCTCAGTCTCATATGGGATGTTGCAGGCTTTGCTGAACGCTCTTGGTATACACTCTGTGCGGCGTGAGTTCGCGTTGACATAAGGCCACAGAAATCATTTTTGCGACTGTCGAGACCCCCGGGATGCCTCGATACTCACGTTTTCCAGATCTTGCAAGGGCAGGGGGGATCCAAATAGGATTCGCACGGGTGGGTGAGCAGAAGAGTATATCCTAGCTCCACGGACAAGATTGTAAGCGGTGTGCTTGCAGCCATTGTGGGGGTTACCCGACAGAGCACAAAGAGCCAAGCAGCAGCAAGCCAGGCTGGCGACATGCACCACGAACGCCGCAATGTGAACAAAGCTCCAAAGAAGAGTCTCACCAAGCACATTGCTGCGTGAGGACGCGGCCTCATCAACAGGCTCTCCAAGCCTGACTCGGACTGATCACCATGGGACTCGGCGCTCCATTACATGTGTCGTGATAACGCCCATGGCCCCCAAGCTCATGGCACTATGCCCTGAGGGTTATCAAAGCCATTCTGGATTTGCCACAGGGTCGCGCAGCCTGGTACTGCAGGTCCGGCGTTGCAAACGCATGCCGTCGGTCTCATGAACAGGCGCACGAGGACACCGTCAATAGCACAATGCTCATATGGGGTGCTGCCGGCCAATTGCACCAAACCTACACATTTACGAGCGCCTACATTCGGCATTCCAGGACTTGCATCAACATGCCAGGCACGTAGCCAGTGCCGAGCCACATTTAGATTTAGATAGCAAGGCACTCCTGGCCAGTTATTGGCATTCTACCAACAATCCAGCATGCCAAGCCAAAATCCCGAATGATGTGAAAGGGCTCCAAAGCATGTGCGGGTCTTGGAGAAGGCAAAGCATGAGGGGTCCCTTTCTCTAGGCTCCGTGCACTACGCGCACAAGCGTGTACAGGCTGTGGAAGCCGTTAGCTCATAGCGGGAGCAGGATGTGAAAGTTTGCTACTTGCGTGTGCGTGTGCGCATGACACCTCGCTTGCTAACTGTCGCTGTGTGCGGAAAGCGGTCATTTTCTGCAGTGCAGAGGTGCTTCATTCAAAGTGTTATTAGTAGAAATACTAATAGAAAAATAGTAACAGTTTGAACTCTTGCAAGCTTAATAGTATTCAGTTTGGATGCAGGTACCCGTCCTGCCACAGTGTGGGCATATCCTGGCTCTCCCCCGAGCCCAGAATGCTGAGAGGCAGCACTGCCGTGGATTTGAGCCAGGTGAGCTCTAGTCTAAACTCCTAGTATCCCCCTTTATGACCCCCATAATACTCCCCTATATAACCCCCCTTTCAGGAGTTTAGACTATAGCTCAGGTGGACATTTCTCAAAATGATCCCATCAGAATCCCTCATGGGGACCCCCAACTTCCCTGATGTCCCCGTACATTCCTTGGCGTCTTCAGGGGCCTCCTAACTCCCAGGTAACACCCGCTAGAGTGCAGAGGTGAGTCATCTGCGCCTCATGTGATCCCAACACGAAACGAGACGCAGTGATGCGCAAATTACTACAGGCTTTCAGGCTGGCATCTTTTAGCAGATATGCTGGGACTCCTTTGCCATGCAACACCTTGCTCCCAGATTTCCAGGTGCCACCAGCCCTTCAAAAAGGATCTCCAGATCTCCAACCCACTTTGGCCGGGTGTGCGGGAGTGCACCACAATTGAGGTCAAAATGGGGGTTTCCGAAAATTAGGGTTACTATTTTGGGGGGTCCCCATAATAAGGACTATAATATTTTGGGATCTATATTGGGCCCCCCCATTTATGGAAACTAGCAAATCTTGAGAAGTGCACACTTCTGCGCCCCATAGCTACGACTCTCCAGAGCTCCTAGTGGCTGACATGGCCTATGCCTGTAGCCTAAATCAACAACTTACAACAGCTGCGAAGTCAGGTTGCAAGGTGGTGTCCATGCCACCAGGAGTTCAAACTTTGCAGGCAGGTTAAACTGCTTTGTCTGCGGTTCGCTCATGTTGGGGGAGCCTAAATCAAGATTTGATGGGTGGCTGCTGATGCTCCTTGCAGGCATTCGATTTCATACCGTAAACGAGACAGCCGGGAGGATCTGGAAAAGAGTTCCAAATCTTGTAATTAGCCTCTTCAACTGTGCCAACTTGGGGCGGGAGTGTAGTGTCAACTTTGTGCCCTCTGTTCCCATAATATGGCCCCCCTGTTGGGGGGAGCCGATTCCGCTCAGTCACAAATCTAGGCGGCGGCTGCTGCTGCTGCTGCTGCTGCTGCTGCTTTAGTTAGTCGAAAGTCAGCTCTTTTTAAACGGATCCCTCAAACTCCATATAGGGCCATGTTAGGAGTGCTGGTGATTAGCGGGGAAGCGGGGACAGGATCTCCCATGGTAGTTATTGGATCATGCTACCACAATAGGGTTAGGGCTTAGGGTTTTCCAGCCCGCCAACTCTAGAGGTCGTTAATCGGTGTGTTTGAGTTGAGAAGCCCCGACGTGGCAGTTCAAACCCTGAAGATGACTTGAAAAAAGCTTGACATGGTATATTGTGGGGTACCCATTGGGGTAAAATTTGTGTTTTTTTGGGGTAAGATTATGGTATTAGTGAGCAAATATTGGGCGCACATCAAGACATCCCCGAAAACTGGACGCCTTGGTGAGATGAGTGCAATCTTTAGACATAGGGATGTTGCTCTAATCCCTCCCAGGAGGGGTCAAGGATGAACTTGTTGGGGATCCCCCCACCCTGTAATAGTGGTATAATATGAATATAAGAGGACCCTCATATAATCTCTATTATCCCCTATAGTCACTATTACTGGGTGGGGGGTCCACCTAAGGGATCAGTTATGATTTTTGGGGTTTCAGGATTCAGGCCCTGTGGTTAAGGGTAGGGTGTAGAGAATCGAGGCATGATCAAAATTCGCGTGTGCATTGGCTGCTGCGGCCGCTGCGGACAGCTCAAGCCTTCAGGCGACCACGATCTATTCCAGGCCTTACCTTCCTTCGGGATGTCACGTTCTATCTTCATGTTCGTTGCGCTGGCTGCTACGGTGGCAGCTGCAAGCGATGTTGCCACTGGCGCTGAGGGCGCAGAGGACTACTGGGCAGGAGCCGTTTGGCAGGACCTTCAGCTGATCTTCTCCTTCGTCCTGGGCATTCTCTTCGTGCGCTCTGCTGAAACTATCTTGGACGAGTCCGGGGCCAGTGGAAGAAATCAAGGACTCACGAAGCTCGAGCTCTACCCCCTGCTGTCTTAGACTCCGAATTTCGCAAAGGCCCAAAGGTGGCAACATTACGCCAGAAGAAGCCTTCAAGGATAGCAGTGCGGAATAGCTCAAAATGCGGAATCCCGTTTCGCTCAGATGTTGACTGTTCCGCTGTGTCAGGCCGCGTCTCCCCGCTAGGCAACAGGCTGTGGATGAGTGCACCCCTCAAGGACCTTGTTCTGTATGCTTCATGGGTCTGACTTGTCAAGGGTTTCTCCAGTGTCTAGCCAGGCGGGAAATATGTCAACAAACGGATGCCGCTCTGGTGACATGTTTGGTTCTGTTTTAACCGGAAATCCACGCATTTGATGGAGCCAGTTTCTTGTTCTGCGCAGTTGCAAGAAAGCAGGGAAATGTTTCAGCTGATATTTCTTCGCATGGCACCTGAGCTTGTGCTATGAGAAGTCCGCCGCCGTTGCTGCGTACAGCTCAAGCCTTCAGGCGACCACGATCTATTCCAGGCCTTACTTCCTTCGGGATGTCACGTTCTATCTTCATGTTCGTTGCGCTGGCTGCTACGGTGGCAGCTGCAAGCGATGTTGCCACTGGCGCTGAGGGCGCAGAGGACTATTGTGCAGGAGCCGTTTGGCAGGACCTTC